GAAGATGAATTTGTGTGTCGGAATCCTGAATAGAGAGGTACTAAGCAAAATCTGCTACAACGAGAGTTCTGAACTAACACCAAGAAAAAGCGTAGACAAATGCCGAGCTATAGAAGCCAGTGCCACACAACTCAAAGTATTTTACGGAAAGATTGCCACCATATTCTGCCATCATCGTACAGCCGATGATCAGATGAGAAAGCAAGGTAAGAAGTGGACAGCTAATAAGACAGCATACTAAACACCCAGCCGGTGTGTTTTGGTGGGTTGTAAAAAAATACCCAAAGGAGAATGACAAATCCTTGTGGTAAATGTCGGAATACATCATATGCCGAGACAATTGCCCTGCTACAGGTAAAAGCAAGCTGCACTTTGTTCACAAAACAAAAATCATTTTCGCAAGAGGTGTGCCGTTCAAGCAACAACATGGTGTGTCGGAAATCAGTGCTCAAAAAGGAGATTGATCCATCGTATCAGTATCTATGTCTAGACGAGTATACCGCTAGAACATCAACGCAGCTTACAGTCTGACTGGAACACAAGCGTCAGGGTGGCAACGATAGACACTCTGACTGTTCGATATTTAACGCTTGATACACGCAGCACCAAAGCCTGAATGTCATTCCGATCTAACACACTGCGTTCATGTTCAAGAGCACTGGTCCGCTGCAATCAACTAATGTGCGTCTAAAGAGCTACAAAGTCGGCACACAAATTAAGCCAGAAGGACCAGGTGAATCTAAAAATGTTCAGTAACAAGAGATCTACTCAAACGTCACATTGCCAAGTCGTCAGTCTCAAGAAGTGCCACCGATCCTCGGAAAAGGATGCGATTGCTGTACTTAGCTTTACTGAGAAGAGCTGTGAGGTATACATCTGTTAAACATAGCTCAGATACCCTGATCTATGCAAAGTGCCTAGGAAAGCTACCCAGGCAGTACTCGATCAAAAATAAAACCAAATGCTACTACCCAGTTGTACACTACACCACGGACCAGGAGTACCATTACGCCTATTCGCGGATAGAAGTCAAAGGAATCCGACCGCATGAACAAATGGGCATCATCGCAAAGCAGCGGAGAGCCTACACTATGGAGTTAACTCGATGGTACCTGTACATGAAGTAATGGTGACATAGTTCCGGATGTGCCATTGATCCAAGGCTGACTTGAAATAAAGCATTAATGCGTGAACATCCTCCCGACAGAAGTCTGGTTCGAAGAATTTGCTGCACAGATTGGCATACGGCAACGAAGTTCATCAGAAATTAGACTAGCGCGTACACAGTTATTGGCACATCGAGCTGGATGACGAGACGTTCCTAAAAGATGTCGTACCATGAACACCATATTCGGGAGATGGATAGGTATTTCTCCGAACTCCCATATCGGATTGTGTAGCTCAGGTGAAGATATCATGCCAACGCGCACATGGAAAACATCCTAGAAGGGGATTGATGGAGTGAAATGATCGTCGATGATACGTTAAATTTGGGGCAACTCCGATCAGCAACACGACGAACGAGTACAAGCGAGTTCTCGACCAAAAGTAAACAAGGCCTGGACAAAAACTCAACCCTGATAAGCTGAAGTCGGTACAGAGAAGTCAGCTATGTAGGTCACCTTACGTCTCACATCGTCAGTGGTTTGAGAGCCGATCCCGAACGCGTGAGAGCAGTCCGTAAACATTGCCGCGACCAACAAACAAACATGGAAGTGCGGCTAGATTCTTAAGGTATGGGTTACCCTATGTAGCCCAGAGTTCATCCTCAGATCTGTCAAACATAATCTGCACCACTACGTCGGCCGAACTGGATCAAAAGAGATGTCGACTTCACAATGAATAACGAACATCACCTACAAGGTTCGAGGAACGAAAAAGCTGATTAACAAGCCCAAGCCACGTGTTCTGAAGTACTGACGTATGTCCACAAAGCCGATCACAACTATCGGGTGACAGTTCAAAAGAATGGTCTAGGTGGATGTTTTGTTAAATGAGATCATCCAATCGCCGTATGCGTCACGCACGGATTAAATCACTGACAGCAGAAGACACTGCTACGTCGCAACAGAGAAAGAACTCTTTTGCTATCGGTATGTCGGTTTGCAAACGATTCCATGACTACGTAACGGCAAGACAGTTCTTAGTCGAAACAGAGTCACAGCGCCTCGTAGAGGGTCCCGGGTTGTGCGGGCGGAGGCCTTTTAGTGCCAAGCTTGCCAGAAATAAATCCTGTCAATCTCCACCACCGAGGGTCCCCAGATAAATGAATATCGACATCTACAACGCAAAACGACCTGAAGCACCATATAAGCCAGGAAAAGAGTTACTACATACTGATACCCCCTAAGAGCTTAACCTGAATCGAACACAGGAACGAGCGATGATTCACTATATGATAACTACTGATGTGAACCGACTATTCACGCACCTCCGCTTCACAAGGCGAGAACTAAGAACAGTGTCAGATACGCCAAACTCGTCAAAGTGCTAGTCTTTCAGGCCCTTATGCGCGACGATCGTGTTAAATAGATGGCCAGAATAAAGAATGAATGTCCGGCACAGTGAAGCCCATATTGGAGTTTTCCGAGATCGAAAACTGCGTACGTCACGATCAGCTGCTTTTTCGAAAGTGGACGCGAGTCATCTGCCGGGAACGCTCCGAGCTGCCAACTCTGAAAGAAAATACACGAGTCGCAATCAAAAGGCCCATGCGTGAGAACAAGCAAAGAGCCAGAGATGTACCTGTTTTCGGCCTGGCATGAGTCAACCAGATTTCGAAGAAGACTGTAGAAAAGTACTGTATGTGCGCAATACAAAAACGGAAACAGCAAAAGAACTGCGTTAATCCCGCACACAAGTAACCCGATCGTCCGTGTCAAAATGTAGCGTCGACCTATTTACATGTAAATTGGAGACGATTATATAGTTGTTGTTGACGGTATATTCAATAGTTCTCTGACGTGATGCAACTGAGAGATCAAACGCAGTACAGCAACAGTTTATCAAACAAACTGAATCGGTTTTCGCTAAGACATGGCATACCAGACACGCGGTAATGTCGATAATGGTCCCCCGGCAGCGGACGATCATCAAGAATTTCTGAAATTGCAGCAACGTGGACTTTTCCATAGTCACATCAAGCTCCTCGGATTTCCACAATCGAACGGACAAACGACAATGCAGTGAAAAACCATGAAAACGATGACAAGAAATGTCGCGAGGTAAGGTAACATTCCAGTATTTGGGTCATTGCTGGATTTGAGAAACACGCCAGTAACAATATTTGGTAAATGCCTGCACAGCTCCTCATGGAGTCCGCCGGTTGAGAGCACACTGGCCTTACTTCGCATAAGTTGTTGATACCACACGCAGAAAGAAAGACACGGTCGGATGTAGTAGCTAATACACATCGCTGCAGTCAACAATGTATCAGAAGGATTATTCGACCGACATGCAGGAAAGTCAGCTATTTACTCACAACCAGGTGATCGGTTACGGTTACAGTGAACTGAGCAACACATTGCAACCAG